CTGTGAGTTTGAGTTTTGTTTTGTTGCCCCAGTGCGAAGGCCAAGTCTCATTTGAATGTCCTCTTGCAGGATGTGTGAGATGGCTGTACAAACTGAACTGATGGCAGGGATCAATCTTAACTGTTTATTTGTTAAGGCAGTCTTCCCAGTGCATCTTTATCTTTGTAGTTCTCCTCCAGAGGCTCTTCACATTCGCTGATTAACTTCCTCTGTAGGTGTGGCGACCCTCTGTTCGGTGCCCCCACCCTGACACAGGCTCGCCACCGGGCCCACCTGCAGCGGTGCGCGGCGGCTCTGGCTCAGTATCAGCGGTACCGTGACACTGACCTCGCTCTGGCAGCCGAAGGTGTCCGTTTAGCTGTCACCAGCCTGGGCCGGATCACTGGACGGGTCGGCGCAGAGGAGATCCTGGACATCATCTTCAAAGACTTCTGCATTGGAAAATAAAAGAGTGAAAAACTGACAGATATGCGATTGCCGCCTGCTCTGAGAGGAAAATCGCATTCCTGCAGTCTCACGGTGTCAGAAAACAGGACTGAAAGGACACCGCTGGGCGCTGAGCCAGGCGTCGACACACAGCTGAAAGAAAAAACTCTGTGTTCTTGGCCGCTGAACGCGTGCGCTCCCAGGACGCTAAAATGTTTTCTGTTGATGCTTTTTATCAGCCAAAATAGTTTGAGCATGATGACAGGTGCCTCAAAGGCCCAATATACCGAACAAGTGTTTGGCAAGCCTTGAGTCGTAATTTGAAAATAGATGTCGAAATCCTTTGAAGATCGGCCTCCTGGGCTGCAACACAACAGCCCAGATCTTTCAAATATAACCTGCAAGGTCATGGACTGAAGGTTTGGGTGTTTACTTGTACCGCAGGAACATGACTTATTTTTTTTACTTTGCGCCTTTATTACATTTATTTATTTTCCAAAAAAAGAACTAATACTAATCAGAATGATTGTGTCGCTTTGTTACATGTTGCTGTGTTACGTTACTTTGGACCCTTAAATAAATGAGATCGTGTGTATTTTTGTAACAAATAAAAATTCTCTTTAAAGATACACAGAAGCTACGTTCTTGTTTTTTTGCTGAAGATAAAACAGTGAACTAAAAATACTCGGTGCCCTCTTTGAGTCACTAATAATAAAAATAATAATATAAACCACGGTGCACGGTGGTTAGCACTGTTGCCGCACAGCAAGAAGGTCCTGAGTTCAATTCCAACATCAGGCCGGGGTCTTTCTGTGTGGAGTTTGCATGTTCTCCCCGTGTTTGCGTGGGTTCCCTCCAGGTACTCCGGCTTCCTCCCACCATCCAAAGACATGCAGCTTGTGGGGATAGGTTGATTGGATAATCCAAATTGTCACTAGGTGTGAATGTGCAAATGAATGTGAGCGCGAATGGTTGTCTGTCCCTGTGTGTTAGCCTTGCGACAGACTGGCGACCTGTCCAGGGTGTACCCCGCCTCTCGCCCTATGACAGCTGGGATAGGCTCCAGCGCCCCCCGCGACCCTGAAAAGGATAAGCGGAAGTGAATGGATGGATGGAATAATATAAACCCATCAGCTACTCGTTAACAGTACAAAATTAGCCTCCCTCATGCTATTAAACATCAAGGGATTTTTACAGCTTTTCAAAACATATTACTACATATTACATAATAAACAAATATAACACACACCAATGAGTTAGACTGCAGGAATGTCTTAAAGATATAAAGACCTGGATGGCCTCTAACTTTCTCCTGTTTTGGCTTCCTGTTAAATCCAGAATTCAAAATCCTGCTCCTCACATACAAGGTCTTAAATAATCAGGCCCCATCTTATCCTAATGACCTTGTAGTACCATATCACCCTATTAGAGCACTTCGCTCTCGCTCTGCAGGCCTACTTGTTGTTCCTAGAGTATTTAAAAGTAGAATGGGAGGCAGAGCCTTCAGTTTTCAGGCCCCTCTTCTGTGGAACCAGCTTCCAGTTTGGATTCAGGAGACAGACACTATCTCTACTTTCAAGATTAGGCTTCAAACTTTCCTTTTTGCTAAAGCATATAGTTAGGGCTGGACCAGGTGACCCTGAATCCTCCCTTAGTTATGCTGCAGCAGACGTAGGCTGCTGGGGATTCCCATGATGCACTGGGTGTTTCTTCTTCACTCACTATGTGTTAACAGACCTCTCTGCACTGAATCATATCTGTTATTAATCTCTGTCTCTCTTCCACAGCAGGTCTTTATCCTGTCTTCCTTCTCTCACACCAACCAATCACAGCAGATGGCCCCGCCCCTCCCTGAGCCTGGTTCTGCTGAAGTTTTCTTCCTGTTAAAAGGGAGTTTTTCCTTCCCACTGTCGCCAAAGTGCTGCTCATAGGGGGTCATATGATTGTTGGGCTTTTCTCTGTATGTATTATTGTAGGGTTTACTGTACAATATAAAGCACGGCTGTATAAATAAAATTGATTTGTGTAGAAAAGCGATTTAAGTGACTTTGACCATGGTGTGATCGTTGGTGCTAAATGGGCTGCTGAACTATTACAGACCACATCCACAAAATTGTCTTAACGCACTTTGTGCCCCTTAGTATCAGATGAGCATTGTCCAAACACCACAGCCTACCTGAGCACCGTCCGTCCCTTTATGACCACAGGTCTGCAGGGGTGGCATGTCACAAAGCTCGGATCATCCCGGACTGGTTTCTTGAACATGACGGTGAGTTCATTGTACTGGGATGACTTCCACACTCCATTGCATCACTGGTGAAACAGGAATGTGTCGCTCAGCGATGATTTGAATTAATCTTTATTACACAAGTTTAAAGGTGCACGGACGTGTTACAGTAGAGAAGTAAAGGCGAAGAACAGATTGCACGAATCGCATGCTTTAACCTTCTTCATTATGCATTACATATATTCCTGTCTGTTCCTACAGAGACTGGCTTAGTGTTGTCTAAAGCCAGCGTTCCCTTTGTTAGACACATTCTTGTTGGCACTGCTTTCTGTGCCCTTTGTTTCCCTGTCAGTTTAGCCTTGATCAAATATTTATGTTTCCACGCTGAACTCCTCACCCTTCTTCCCCAGTTGGTGTCTTCTTGCCCCGTCTCTGACGACATTTGCACCTCTGTTACCCAGCACCACCTCTGCCTTTTCTGCGTCTCTGGTGTCTGGCTGTGCTATCTGACCTTTCCTCTTCCTGTGCTGCTCTGTCACCCTTTTTGTTGACTTTCATGTTCTGCGTTGATTAATTGCAAAACAAGGGAAGTGTAAACTAAAAGTGGGGCTTGTTGTCAGACAAATTAGTGGTAGTAAATTCTGGAGCTTTGTCTTTGAAGCCCTGCCCGTGTGCGATGGCCTCCGGGTCACTGTGTTTACTACAGCTGTGAAAGTCGGATGTTTTGTATATCAGTAGGAAAGGTGTACTTCTTTGGGACCTCACAACGCTAATGGTGCCGCTCTGTGAAAGCTCAGTGGTTGTTGTCAATTTTATGTGTCCTGTTGATATTTTATCTACAAATTCATGATTCCCAGAAGAATAATTGCGCTGACGTCCTGCACCACTGTAGTGCTGATGGCTTGGATCTGCATTCATGCTTCGTAAGAACCAAAAAATGTAATTTTAATTCTTTTTATATGGAGGGTATATGACAGAGATCTGTGACAGTAAAAGCGCAGCTCTGGATATTCTCGTCCATCAGTGCCTCGTGTTGACTAAACCTGAGGTGTTTTATTTTAGCTGAATCATCACGATTGCAAATATCAGTGCCCTGAGTTATAACAATGTAGTTAAACAAATTCAACATGATAACATGTCCTCATAATCATCAGTCTGCACACGAATGGGAAAAAGAGATGACGCATAAGCTTAACCTCATCGTCACAGTTTGGTCCATATGTGACTGATGATGGGTACTTTTAGCTTCCTGTAGGTTTGATTAATGACTGTCTGCTCCGCTGCAGCCAGGTCCACCCTGCACGCATTTTACTTAAACCAGTGTGAGTGCATTCGTAGCTATACACGGCACTGGAAACACTTGATGCGAAACAAAGGATTTCCTGAAAACAGGAGGCAGACCAGCTCACCTGTAACACACACATCCTTGTGTACAGCGAGTCTGGGAGATAATCCTGGTTTGTTTCTTATGTAATATGGAAACAAACTCAAATATTTGTTCTGTCTGGCCTTATTTCTTCCACTTCTGACGCAAGTTTGTCACAAAATGAAACTAAAACAAATCCTCGGGATTTATAAGACAGAACAGAAAAACTTTGTTGAGATGGAGCCGGTCAAAGGTCACCATGATCCCGTTCTTGTGAATGCAGAACACCTGGAGGAAATATCTTTAAATTTAGCACAATTATTGCATCAGATTCGGGAATAAACTGAGTAGAATTTGTTGGTCAAAGGTTAAACATCTTCTGTGACTTCACACAAACTTAAATGAGGACACAACCTGTTAGATAATCGTGCAAATGATAGAAAACGTGCACTGGTGTCTAACAGGATAAAAGAAGTGATGCTATTATCTACACAAATAGGCAAAGATGTTCTGCAAAAACACTTTTGTGTCTGAACTTAAACACCGTGTTCACTAATCAACGAGGAGGCGGTGACCGTCTCAGTGTTAATGCTCACGCACAAAATCCCTTCATAGGCTTCATAGGACACGAGTCTGGCCTAGAACCCACGGACACCAGTGCTGCGTGTCCTTCGTTAACGTGCTGTGCCAGTCCGTCGCTGCAGCCGCCTCAGCTGCTGCTTGTTTGTGGGTCTCTCAGCGTTTGGTTTTTGCATTTAAAAAGCGTGTTTTTGTGAGTTCAGGCTGTGACGTGCATTTGGACCTCAAAGAATTATTACCGCGACACAAGCTTCACCTCTGAAATGAAAGAACACGTGTGTGAAACTGGTTGTCAGTCACCTGCAGCTTTGAGTTTCTGAGGATGTTTGTATAACGATGTAACTTTTGTTTAACCCTGTAAAGCTGAACGTCTGGTAAAATAAAAACAAAACTGCATAACTGTTAACATCAAATGGTTGTTTATTCTTTTATTAAATATACAGTATTTACATGAATAGTAGCCATGAAACAGTCTTCAGTCAGAAGTTGAAAACACTGCAAATAACACGACTTTTCACTGTGTTTCTGTTGTTTTCCTGACATCTTTTTCATGTCCAAACGGATCCACAATAATCATAAAAGCAGGCTTCTGTTTCCTGCCACAGACCGGACGTGCTCAGCCTGCTTATGACGAGAAAAGGAAGCAGTAAAGCCTGAAAACAGCACCGAAACTGGGACAGTTCATGAAGACTCAGCTGTTTTTCTTTCTTTTCTTTAAGCTGATCATCAAAACAAAGTGTTTTCAGTCAAATTCATGATTCCTCTTTTTGACATCCAGTGTTTACGACTTCGAGCGACTCGGCTGACGTGACCACGTGTTTATGACTTAATGGACGTCTGTACTGTCATCCAGGCTACGTTAGCATCTCGCCACTGGGACACTTAACAGTTGCTATTTTAAGACTAGTCTGTTTCTCACAGCCCAGTGAGCAGCTGTTGTCTGAGTCTTTGTTACATTTTTAATGTCAGCGGGACGAAATTTCATCGTCAGCAAACAAAAGTATTTTTCCAGAGTCAGTTTTTCTACCTGCACAGAGAGACACACAAAAGGACACATGCACACCTACTTCTTACATTTACCTGGGTACAATGCTTCAGAGCAGAAGTTCAAAAACACACGATGCAGTTACTATATGGAGGCAAAGCATCTGCACACTCTAGTATATACACAGGCTTTAAAAAACAACGTCCTGAGCGCTGTGGGCTGGATTTGCCTCTCTCCTCTCTCTGACCACCAGGACGCATTATTTCATTTCACCTGGAAGATAAAACATCAAAAAATTGTAAGCAAAGTAAGCTGGACGTGTAAAGGTCTCATCCCTGCTCAGCATCAGTATTTTATCATTGTCACAGGGATGATATCTGCAGGCTGATGAAGCTTCGAGCTCGCAGTCAACAGCAATCTGAAGGCTTACCGTTGGAGCTTTGAAGATGCCGGTTATTCCTACAGAAGTCCAGTTAGTTGGAGTGTGTCTGCCCTGCAGCGAGGACGCCTGAAAGCCTGCAGGTTTAGCGCCGGGCTGCAAAACAAAGGTCATTTAACGTTAGACACAGTCAGAACATTAGTGCAGCTTTCTTTTGTCATCTCGCTTCTCCATCCGCCCTGCAGCTGCTGCACCACCTCACCTCTGCACTGACGTCTATGTAATCACCAGATCTGCTGTGATTTCACAGCTCAGAGGTGGATGACACTCCGAGAAGGATGTGACATGATTACATCTCTGCTTTTGGGGATAAATAATAATTCCGATTGGAGGGAAATCGAATCTTCATCAGCTGAGATTCAAGACTGAGTCAAATGTAAATACAATAAGTGAACATCTGTCCCGAGTCCTAATCAAGCTCTCGTTCTGTGACAGAGTATTAGTTTGTTTATTTGTTCGTGTCTTTTACCTTCATATTGGACAGTTGTTGTCTCAGTTCTTCCTTCTCCTGCAGTAATTTCTCAACCTGTGGAAAGTACACACGGTGTAAGTCAAACAGTGTTTGTGTCGAATATGAAACTGCAGGATTTGCACTCTTAGAAAAGCAGATAAAACAGGAGTAGATGAACATTTGCATTTGCTTTGTAACGACACAGTGGCTCCCGCTTCCCGTCCACCCAGATCTGATTTACCTTATCATCATGAGCTTTTTGTGCGATCTGCGACTGTTTGGACGTTTTTTCAACAAACTCTGAGTGATTGCGTTGACACTCCTCGAAGTCGGAGATTAAGTGTTTGTTTTTCACTTCCAGCTGACTGGACTTTTCTTGAATTTCAGACACCTGAGAGCAAAACAACACAATTTTATTTTAATCTTGGACAACATATGAGTAGATAGAATTTTGTTTTGCTTTCCCTGCTGCAATTTTGAGTAAAAACATGAAAAATATCAAAATATTTATGACGTTTCGAACGTTTTTAAGCTGTTTTGAGAACTTTGACCTGACACTTTGAAGGCGTCCGAGGCTCATTTTAAAGTGCTGCATCAGCAGAGACACATACTTCACGTCTGCTTTACCCTGGCACTGCCTCACAGGACATCTGTCTCTTTAGCTGCATTTATCAGCAATGATACAATGCAGAGACTTCCTCCCTTGAGAAAGCGGTTTCCCACTCAGATTGTACTCTGGGATGTTCCACAGAATTAACTTCTTCAGGGAGAGTTCAAAAGTTTAAAGGCTGAAAGTCTGACCTGAAAATAAACACGTCCTCTCCCTCAAGTAGTTAATTTACTGAAGCAAACCTCTTTTATGCAGGCATCTCTCTGCCACGTTATATCTCACTATATTTTTTATTATTATTATTAACCTTTATTTAACCAGGAAAAGTCCCATTGAGATTAAAAACCTCTTTTGCAAGGGAGTCCTGGCCAAGAGGCGACAACACGTTGAAATTACAAAGTTACATACATATTATAAATAACAATTACATTTTAAAAACATTTTTCTCTGGCTCTCTCAAGCTGGACTTAAAAGCATTTAATGAAATAAGATCTGCTATCTTCCAGTCTTTTTGCATCATGTTCCATGTGAAAGGGGCAGCATAAGTAAAAGCCCTCTTTCCCAGTTCAGTTCTGGCAAATGGAACATTGAGCAATAAAAGATCGCTTGAACGCAGGCTGTAAGAAACAGTACTTCTCCGTGTGAGCAGATCGCAAATGTAGGTGGGCATTTGTCCAAGCAGGGCCTTATAAATAAAGATGCACCAGTGAGCAAACCTCCTGGAGGACAACGAAGGCCATCCCACTCGAGCGTACAGATCACAACAATGGGTCAAAGCCCTACAGTTTGTAATAAACCGTAAAGAGGCATGATAAACTGAGTCAATCATATGAAGACACTGGGCGGAAGCATTCATGTACAGCAGATCACCATAATCTAAAACAGATTAAAATGTGGCATTTACAAGACGCTTTTTTGTCTCAAAAGAAAAGCAAAATTTGTTTCGAAAGAAAAATCCTAATTTTAGTTTGAGTTTTTTCACAAGATTGTCTATGTGAGGTTTAAAGGTCAGAGAATCATCAATTAAAAAGCCAAGATATTTATACGTGTGCACCACTTCTATGAGGTTTCCCTCAAGAGTGGACACCAAGGGGACAGTTTGAGGAAATCTCTTCATGTTTGAAAACAACATTAGCTTTGTCTTTTCAGCATTGAGAACCAATTTCAGCTCCAGAAGTGTGTGCTGAACCACGTCAAAAGCTTTCTGCAAAGATTCTATTGCCTTTTCAAAGTTTGAGCCAAAGGAATAAATAACTGTGTCATCAGCATAAAAATGCATACTAGCATTGAACACATTTTGTCCCAAATCATTTATATACATGATGAACAACAGAGGTCCTAAAATTGAACCCTGTGGCACCCCAGTGTGAATATTCAAAAGTTCTGAGCACAGATTTTCACATTTAATGCATTGAGTCCTGTCACTCAAATAGTTAGTGAACCATGAGACAACATGTCTAGACAGCCCCAAAGAAAGAAGCCTATGCTTTAAAATGGCGTGATCCACAGTGTCGAAAGCTTTTGACAGGTCGATAAAGAGAGAAGCACAGTGCTGTTTTTTATCCAGAGCAAGTATGTCATTTATCACTTTTATTCTGACCTTTCAGAATAAAATGAGAACTGAAATCCCGATTGCCTATCACCCCTTCTTTAAAAACAAAAACAGATCTGGTTGATTGTCTGATCTGATGCATCTCTGAGTTGGCAGCAGCTGCACCAAAGAGTGATTTGAAAGTATTAAAAATGGCATTAAAAATGTTAAATTACCATTTTCCCCACATTGTCGAGATAAACCTGGAACTTGTTCTCCACGTCTCTGGACAGGTTCGTGCAGCTGTTTTTGATCTTGTCCATGTGCTCCCGCTGGCTGCTGCAGGTGAGGTGAAAGGTGAGCTGGTGAGGAAACAGTTTGTTAATCCGGTCCAAGAATTCTCTGGTCACCGTCGTGATGCCTTCTAGAGAATTTGCAAAGTCCTCTTTGCACTTGCTGGTGGAGGCAGAAAGAATAAAATAAAACGCTTTAACTTTGCTTATTTTTCAGGTTGTTTCAGTCGCACACGCCACACACACCTACCTGGTGTACAAGGCGTGCTGCTCCCTGAGAAAGGTGTTGTCGCGCCGCAGCTCCACCACCTCGTCGTTGAGGCGCGTTCGGTCTTTGACGGCTGTGTCTAACTCATCCCGCAGATTCTGCACCGTCTGGGTGAAGTTTGAGTTGACGACGTCCAGCTTGGCCTCCTGCTGATCGTAGAGTCTCTTCAGATTACTCAGCTCGCCTGGAGGATTCAGACAGAAACTGTCAGAAAGCGACGATTTCACTCTTATTAAGGCCAACTGCAATAATGCTAATTAAGGCTTAACGCATCATTTATTAATGCTTCAGAGTTATTAGATAACGAGTTTCCAGATGGTTTGCAACATGTTTAACTGTTTGGGCAGATCGAGATCCACCTCCGCAGCATCAAGACTCTTAACTGTTCAACTTCAGCGTGACGTCTGCAGACACTGTTTGTGTTTCATGTTTGATGAGACGATAAATGCCTGAGAAGAAGAAGATGGCACTGAGGTACATACTGCTCGTGCTGCTTCTAGTGATATGGGGCTGTATCGGAGGGAGGGGGCGCCGTGCTAGGTTCAGTAACCTGTTGCAGTCCTCCTGTGAAGAAAACACACACAAAGACATTTGATTCACGATTATATTTTCTTGCACTGGTGACCAACGGGGAAGTGAACTTACAGACTTTTTCTTCAGATCCTGCTCCGTCTTGTTGGCATCAATCTGCTGCTTCGCCATCTCTTTCTCCAGAGCTGCTCTCTCCTCAGCGCGAGCCTTCAGCTGAGCTTCCAGCTTACTTTTCTCCTTCCTCAGCTCGATGTTGTTGTCACTCAGTTTATTGAAGCCCAGCTCCAGCTCCTGCAGGATAACAGCACTCAGCATCAAAGCCATGCTTCTTACAGCTCTACACATGATGGTAGAACAACTGGGAAATCACGTAAAATACTAAAATAATTAGAATTAAAATATTTACAGTGAAAAAAAACACATTAATGGTTTCTGAACATGACATCACTGAAATCTAAGAAAACCTCTCAGAAAATAATCCTACTAATAAGCTGTTGTATTGTTATTCAAGGTGGGCCGGGACATTCAAATGTCTTTAAAATATTTGAATGCTTCAGTTTAATAAACCAAACTTAGACCAGCTCACTGACCTTGACCCTTTTATCTGCTGCAGTCTTCTCCGGCTGTCCGTAGATGACAAAAAGCACCAAGCTGACGATGATGAGCGACTGGATGAGAGAAGAAAAGAGGAAGACGATCCTCATGTAGTAGCCGCAGCTCTTCGCTTTGGACTTGTTCAGGTGCCTTACCCCTGGGCTCAGTTTGGCCCGAGAGTAGCTGGAGCTGTACATGACTGACTACAGAGAAATTATTTGTCCATAAAGAAAATCCGCAAGTATTCCCCCTGGAAGATGGAAGAAGTCGAGCGTGCAGTGAGGTGATGGTTTCCCGGACTTCTGCTCACCTTTTACAGCTCTGCAGCCCTGCCGACGTGAAGAAGCAGACAGGCACAAGTGGCAGGCAATGATGGACGTAAACAATGACCCTTAGGTGTCCAGAAGGGTCATGTTTATAATTGGTGCTAGAGGCACACTTCCTGCCCATCCCAGCCCAACCTCTCCTGCCTCTTCCCCTCCCGTCCCTAATCAGCCTGTGTCGCAGGACAGCCTCCTGCTGCAAAGCTGCCCAAGTTATCAGAAACTTTCCATGGAACGTTTGAAACAAAAATAAGTTGGTGTGATGGGAATTAGATTTAAAGATCTTCAAGACATAAATACATTTAAAGCTTTTCAACAAAAACTGTAAGAAAACCGTCAGTTCTAACAAAATGTGCTCACGCTGCCTAAAGAAGTCGCCTTTGCAGAGGCTGCATGCTCTCCTGTAGTGGAATCTACGAACTCTATTAAATGACCTTAAATTAGGGTTTAAAATAAGCGAGCAATCACTTCATTGTGCCTCGGTGGTAACGGGTCGGACCCACTTTTGCATTCAGAAGCACCTTAATAATAATTTGTGGCACAGAAACAACAAGGTGCTGCAAACATTTCTCAGGGATTTTGGTCCATATTGGTGCGACAGCATCACAGCGGCATCAGAAGGTGGTGCACTGCAGTCATAGATATGGACCCAGCAACAACACCCAGGCTGGGCTGCAGCGGGATGGGTCGATGATTTGATTTCATGCTATTTGCAGCAAAACTCAACAGACCGGGCAACATTTTTCTAATCTTCTGTGGTCCAGTTTCAATCCTCAGGTTCCTGTTGGCAGGTGAGGCCTCCTGCTGCTGGGGCCCATCTGCCACAGTCGTTCATAGATGCTCTTCTACAAACGTTGGTTGAAGCGCTCTGGTTTCTCTTTGTATTACTGTACAGTCTTGACCTTACAGTATAAAGTAACAGTTGTAATTTGCCACTACATAAATAAAACCTCTTTTTTAACACTAGAGATGGATGTGCAGTAAAATCCCAGCAGATCAACAGTTTCTCAAATACTCCAAGCAGCTCAGCTGCATCAACAACCACGCCACATTCATAAACTACATACATCATATTTTCTCAGATAAATATCCAATCAGTCAGGACTCATGTCCACCAGAAGCACAGACGTTCAGTACTTTAGTAAGACTGCTTATGTTTTTTTTTTACCCATGACTCCATGAGATATAAAAAAAATGAAGAAACAACAGGAAATATTCCTATTTAATTATAGCTGCTGCAGACTGATGTATTCCCCTGGTGCTTGATGAACAATATGAACCATTTAAGGAGTAAAAGCAGAAAATGCCAAACAAAATTTTTTTCCAGCATATCCTGTCTTGAACGAGCACGGAAAGGAGTCGTGGTAGTGGAGGAGTGAAGGAGTGAAAACAATAGGGACCTGTCATTCTGTGGGGATGGGGAATAACAAATTCTCCCTGCAGAGCGCAGACACCCTTCACCCCCCGTCCCACCCACGGCATCCACGGCAGAGCCGGTGACGTCAGGCGCAGTCGGGTCAGCCGGGGAAGGGTGTGAAAGGGGAAAGGGCCTCTGAGCCTGAAGCTTTCCTGCTCCCTATTGTCTCCCTGACAACCTGTCCTCAGGTGGAAAAACTTATTTATGAGGCATGTTAAGAGTGACAGAAGACAACGAGTCGGGAAAGAGGTGTTAGATAACGTGAACAAAAGCAGGAAACCAAATGGCTGAAGACCGTGATAAGACACCTTTTAAGATAACAGACTAGACATCTTTGAGGTGACGGGAAAACATATTTTACAGCTAAAGCGGTGATTCTCAACCTGGGGGACAGAGCGCTGCAGCTCAACGAGGGGAAAATATGGAGCGGAACCAAACTGAATATGATAGAGACATGACTGATGCCGTCAGTGCTTCACTAACATTCAAACAGCACGTGAAGCATCAGAACAAGACTGAGAACCTCCACACTGAATTAATCTTCATGCTACAACTGGAGAAGACTTCCTGTTTACAACGGTGTCTGCTGCTCGACTGCTCAATCACCGCCATAAACACGAATATAAAGACATCTGAGCTGCAGTGAAATCACAGTTACAGCTGAAGGATCCCAGCAGAGGCTTTGCTGCCATCTCCTGACAAAAGCTAGACATTAAAAAAATGACATCAAACACACGAACACGACAAGTGTCATTAAACGAACGTTTTTAATCCGCAGAAACAGTTTTACAAACGTCATCTGTACACAACGTGTTTCGAGTGCATCTACGGGCAGTGCAAAGGGCCGTTTTTACAATCATACCCTTTATTTTTTCATTGCTTATGTAACATAACGTAAGTGTGACAGCTAAGAAAGAAAACAAGCCCTTATAAAACAAAGTAGATTAAAACAGACGTACAGGCAGGATCACGTGTCTCTGTGATTCATTACTTCAAATTAAGGTTCATTAGTTTCCCGATCGCCTGCTTCGGAGCAGTGTGGTGTGTTAGAAAGCAACGAGGGATGAATGATGCCTTTACACCGTTTAGCTGCTCTTTTATCTTTTTCTTGGATTCTGGGACTTTTAATCATTCTCACGACACCTGCAGCTAACAGCTGCATGAGTTCTGCAGCTAAGATGAAGAAAAAAAAAAATCACTCGTCTATTTTAGTATGGACATACAATGTCTGTGCAGTTGGCAACTTACCAAACCCCTTGGTTATCCTTAGATCTACACCTACATCCCAAATAATACATGAATTACAGCAGCTAAGAGAAAAAATGGTCATAATGTGGAGGAAAAACCGAAACGCGTGCGTGTGGATTTCACAGAGAAGACAGTGTCCCATTTTAAACTGTTGCCTCAATGTCCTGGGGGTCGTCCCCCTCCAGCAGGCTGTAAGATGCATGACTCTGGAAAGGCCTTTGTAAAGGGTGAGCCAGAAGTTTGGCCATGCAATTGTGCAGCTCAATGGCGGGTCCGCCTAAGGAAACCTCAAAGCGGTAACACATGCCCTTAGAGTCCAGGTTACTGAAAGAGGTGTAGTTGTCCTGGAGAAAAAGCAAATACTCAGTTTAAGAGTATGCAAGAGAATATCAGGTGAGACAGTGTAAAACAGCTTTTTACATACAGAATCAAAAGGCCGGTGCTGGTTTTTAGTGTCAGTACTGCAGTTTTATCATCACTGGGTGTGAACACGAGAGCAGCAAAGGCTTTGAAGGTGAGTCGGGCGTGCAAAAGCTCCACAGCCCAGAGTTTGGCATCGCTGTCTTACAATGTGCAGAAAATATCTTAAAAGATAAGCTTGGAGGCATAGATGGTTCATTTTTTCAAATATATATTTTGGGGGGGTTTTAGCCTTTAATGAGATGGGACAGTGGAGAGAAGACATGAAAGCTGGGAGACGATGCAGGGGACGACATGCAGCGAATTGCCTCAGAGCAGAGCTTTAACGCTCAAACCAGTAACTACAGCGGTGCCCTGGTTCACATTTAACATGCCACAGAGGCTTTTCAAACATGCTGAACACTGACGAGAAACAAGGACGTACTTTATGTTTAGACAAGTAAAGGTTTGGATTTATTCAAAGGTTACAACATGCACTCACTGGACCTTGTTGGTACCGCTTGTCTCAGCTGTCTCAATCCTTTGGGTCACTGATTCAACAGAACGCTGGAAACATTTCTCAGAGTTTTTGGTTCTTCTTGACGTGATAGCATCACGCAGTTGCTGCACAGTCATCGTGGAAATCTCCCGTTCCACCACATCCGAAAGGCCAACGCGCTCTAACGGCAGAGGTCATCTAAGTGCAGTGATCTCATCGTCACATTCAAGAAACCAGCTTGAGATGATTTAAGCTTTATGAGATGGTGCGTCACGCTGCTGGGAGCAGCCATCAGGAGATCGCATCACTGTGGTCAGCAACAATACTCAGGGGTGTCCAACTCCAGGCCTCAAGGTGTCCTGCAGGTTTCAAATGTGTCCTTGATCCAACACAGCTGGTTTAAATATCTTGAAGTTCTCCAGAGGCCTGGCAATGAACTCATCGTTTGATTCAGGCGTGATGTCCCAGGGTGAGATCTAAAACCTGCAGGACACCCTCGAGGCCTGGAGTTGGACACCCCTGCTTTAAACGATTCTCAGCTGGTACTAAAAGGACCAAAGTGTGCCAAGGAAATATTTGCCACACTCCAATCTTCTAATTTTGTTGAACCTGTGCGGAGCGTAGCCTCAGTTTCCTGTTTGTAACTGACAGGAGTGGCAGCCAGGGCGCTCTCCTGCTGTTGTAGCCCGTCTGCTTCAACATTAAGGCACCAAAACACGTCACGTTTAAAGTGACTTAAATCACCTGCTATGCTGACATGTGATTGGCCGATTGGATATTTGCATTAACAAGCAACTGATCGCGTGCACCTAAGAAAGTAACCAATGAGCGTATAGTGTGGTTTGTGTAATACTTGCTAGCTGAAAAATTTGTTGTCAGTAAAGCACTCATGCACTGTGTGCCATTATTGTGTCGTCTTATCCACTGAACTAACTTATTTTAACAGATTTGATCTTGATCACGAGGTATTTTATGTTCCTCTGTTTTCTTATTCCTCATGTTAATAATCATCCACACGTCCCCCCCTTTGGTAGGACAGTAACTGCATCGCTGTGGCACAGCATGAAGCTTGTTTGACTCCTTTAACCACCCGGTCAGTGACAGTCTAAGGCTGCGGTCAGTTTGAGACTGGATACTATTTGATGCGATGGTTTATGGACCGAGACCTCTGATGAATGTTTCCAGCACCTTGTTGAACCTGTGCCATACAGATTTAAGGCACTTCTGAAGGTAAAAGGGCGTCAAACCTGGTACATGGAGCTGCTGCACACAGTTTGAACCAATAACCCTCCATCACCAGCTTCTGCACTCACCCTCCAGCTGGTCTCATCCCCCTGCTCTTCCACCCCGTTGTGCAAATAGACCACGTCGAAGAAAAAATATGGCGACTGCAGCATTTTCTGTGACAGGACAGAGAAACACAAAGTGCACAGTCAGGAACAGGTCCCACGTGTAAAAACTAAAATACAGACACAAAGAGAGACTGTGCTGTACTTACACTAACAGCCTCAGATGGGTTGAACTGCAGCTGCCCAGCATGACGGCTGTAGATAAGCACAGTCCGCACCACATACGGAGGCGGGATAGTCTGAATATTCTCCATCAACGGCAGCTCGATTTTCTGATGTCTGCAAAGGCAAAAAATGAGCAAACAGTTGAAACACTTGTGTGTTTAGAAGCTAAAAAAAATCGCATTTTTAATCAAATTTACAGCAGATCTGTTACTTACATGACATTAAGGAGATCTTCCAGGTCTATAAAAGGGGAGTTAAGGGTCAAAACCAAACATCTAGAAGTTACTAGCATTTTTTTGTCAGTTTCAGTTTAAGGATACTGAAGGACTCGCACACGTTGGTCTCCAGGTCATACAAGCAGCTACACAGCTCCCTGGGATCAGAGGTAAAGCCTGACAGCTGAGATATGTCCACAGATGGATTAAATGACGTTACATTAGGGAAGTGCATTCAACCGCCATAGACAACAACAATAAAAAGGAACTACATGATCATGCCCAAACAAACGGCTAAGAGTGTGTTGAGTCTTCTACATTTTTTAGAAGTCACACATAAGAAAAAGCATCCTAACAGCTCTCGTACTCACCCACAGGGCGTCATCGTTGACGACCACCAGAGCAAACTCGTGCCGTTTGTCAATCTTGTGTTTTGTTCTGACAAACATCTCAATCATCTTCTGGGATATGTTCAGAGCATTCGTTTTAGACCTAGGTTGAAAAACAGTCAAATTAGGCGGTGAAACTTTGACGACACACAATGAAGTTTAACATGCAGCCGCCTACCCGTTAAAGGACTCCAGCTTTGGCAAAGACATCTCTTCAGAAAGATCTAAGCAGATAATCTGTCATAAAAGAGAAGAACTGACAGTGAAAATGACTTTTTTTTTTCTTGTGACTCTTCAAAAATCAGAAATGCTAAGTGGACCCACCACTTTCTCTGGGCAGTTTACACGGGGCACTCTGAGCTGATACTCTGCCGGTGAAGGGACGGACGTGGTGAGTGTGGGGTGCTGCTGTGTGGACTTTGGCCAGTCTTTGGTTGACACGGCGGTAGTGGACAGTGGTACCGCAGCACTGGCCGCAGCAGTCGCACCTGTGACGGCAGTAGGAGCCACAGCCTGAGCCGTAGACACTGAGATGGTTGCGGTGGTGGAACTTGGAGGGCTGTCGCTGGTCGAGGCCTCACCTTCTCCCTCCACACGACTTCCCACGGCAGGCTGAGATATGCTGGGGTTCCCGTTGCCTCCGAGGCTGCCAGTGCTGCTGCGTCGGTCCTCAGCACCCTCTGGGTTGGAGCGCGTTCGAGGTCGGAGCTCTACAAGACGCTCCTCTCCATCTGCCTGGCCGGGCTCTGGTGTGTCCATTGATAAAGGAGGAAGCTACAGAAGTGGAGGTGGTGAGGTGAAGTTAGTTATTCTGGCTCTCAAAGATTTCTAGCATTTAACAGGTGATGGACTCACTTGACATTAAAAGGCTGGTATAATATTTGTAACTTTGCTTGCTGTCCATCCTTCACAAAGACCAACAAGTGCAAATCCACCTAAAATCCTAAACACGGGCTTCTCATAAACGACACCGCTTGTCCCTATCTTACAGAGGGCACATTTACACCAGACCACCACACAACCATTCTCATCAACTTTAAAATCATATTTCTACTTTCAGTACAAACTCAGTCCAGTGTAAAGTTCATTTTACACACAAGGACTGCTTCTCCACGTGTTAGCTCGAGTGTTATGTGTAGATAAACGCAGTGGTGTATATTTACAGGAAATATTATTAATTGGCAAAAGCTTGAGTCAATGCGACCAGAAAACCTGACAAAGTGCTAAAAACCACAGCAGACAGAGCAGCTGATGCTCCACGGCTGTAGCAACATTAGCCGTTAGCATTAGTTAGCTTTAACGAAAACAAATACGTCAAATCAGTCACTCTGTGAACTGAAGTATAACTTTTACATTTGGAAGAAGAAGAACAGACACTTACTTAATTATTACGACAGGTCTTGTATTTATATACGGTAACAACTCATTGAGGACTGAGAAATATTCCAACAGCGAGCTAACATTTGTTTTGAACGGACACTTCCTGAACGGAAATGATATAACCAGAAACTGGAACGGGTACAATGGAATTGTGGGTAATGAAGTTTATGGATTGTGGTGCTCAAAAACAGTTTTGCTGACCTAATAATATAGTTTTTACTGCAGTAGCAGTAGTAGTAGTATCATAAAAAGCTTTGTTTGAGTCCACAGATACTGTCATGCATAAGTAATCGATTGATTTATTGATGTATTGAATTTATTCTACCAAAGTGAGTCTTTTACTATATTTTTTGCCAACACCGGTCTGCAGATTGTATCCAAAAAATAAACAGGTAGCATTTTCCTGCGTATATATCACATTTTAACCAGATAGGATAATTCACACCCCCTTTGGTCATAATCAGACATAGAAGCACACTACGGACAAAACAGGAAAGGACTCAGAGTGAAAGGGAATGGGTGGGGATGACTTTTCCACTTACTTCATCCATCACACAAAACAGTGTTAGGCAGACATGGAGAGAGCAGACTTATTACAGAGACTGACTGACTCTTGGAAAATATAATTACACAAAATAGTAGGACGGAAGAAAACAGACCCTCATTTTGTCAATTTTTTTTTTTTTTTACACACGTGGTAAACTGAGTCACTTCTGCAGTCACACAGATCAGCGAGCATGGAGGTAAGTTATGATGAAATGTTTGAGGGATTGTTTTGAAGGTTTAGTGAGATTGGGAGCAACATAAATCCAGTTGAGCTTATGATATGTGACACAGTATATGAGTTTGTAATGCAGTTCAAAGCTGTCACTGGTAAATGCCTAATGCAGATGTCGCATGTTGCTCCAATATTCCCCATAAGAGAAGAACTGTTGTTTGCAGAACTGCTGCAGCCTCATAATAGAGACTTTTAAATGATTTAATCTGCCCTATCGATAAGGCAGGGTAAGACTTTTTACTGTTTGAAAACATGCACTTTGCACATAAGTAATAAAATCCACAAATCTGAAATCAGAGAGTTGGTCTGACAGCATGCGTAAAGTCTTTATTCCCCCTTTTCATGCCTAAATGACTTTTCTCTGACACTGACTGGGAATAGTTTGGTAATGAGGATAAGGAATTTCAAGTATGTTGCCAACTCTGGCCTGCACCATATATACGTGTGTTATTAAAAAGATGTATGTGTTCAATCGTTTAAAAAGTACATTTTCATTCTACATCTGACTGTAGTTAATTCCATAATTAAAGAGTAACATTTTGTTCTGATTCAACATTTTGTGTCTGAGAGATTTGTTCAGCGTTCTTCATGAAAACAATAGATGGTTCGGTCCACAAATATTTGCTTGGCAGGAAGTTGGATGTCAGGATGTTTTAGTTTCCTCCTTTTCCGTTGCTCAGAACAATAGCTGCCAAACATGTTTGGCTCAATAGCGTAACAGATTTTTAATGCTGATACATTATATAATTAAATTATTTTGCTGTACTCACTGAAAGGTGCTTGTTCACAGGACGGAAGAAGGCTGCATACATCGGGTGTGATGTGTGTTATTATTGGTGCACGCAGACGTGACAGATTGCAGAAATATAAAAAAAATACAGCAAAAAACTAAATGAATGGGTCCTCCAAGTTATTTTTTCTTTCAGTCCAAACACGACTCCATGTTTCTGTAGGATTTCAGGCGAGGCAGATGTGACAGTCTGGATGCAGGGTCAAGGTGTGACAAGGAGGCGATGAGCCCGAGTGACTATATCTCCCTCTACCACGAGGGCTGTGACCCTGCAGTCATCCTCGAGCCTACACCAGCAGAGCTGGCTCAGTGTGAGGCTGAAGTGGGCACGCTGCTCAACATCATTGCTGAACTGAACAAGAAGATGGGGTCACTAAAAGCTCCAAGGTAAGCGAGGCGCCCGGCGCGACGGCTGGATTTACTGCAGCATCACCTTTGGCTCCACTTTGACTTGAATACTAATGCCATCCTTACAAGACACCTGAAATCTGTGGATTTGTATTCATCCTTGTGGGCAATACCACACATATTTTCACATTAATAGGGAGTTTGATATTCAACCTATAGCTCGTGTAAACGCACTACTCTTGCAGTGAACCAGATGACACGAGACCGCCGGCTCCATCCAGGCCTCTGGTTCCAGATCTTCTGTCTCACCGGCTCGTTAGAAGCAGCCCAGAAAGAAACAGCCCAACAGCTAAACCTCCACTGAATGAGCAAGGTTGGCGTTACCATAGCATCACTCGTTCATCAGCAGAGCTTATCAGTTTGGATGCCATGCACTTTCATCCAATCCAGAAGCTTCCACCGATTAATATTTTATGTTTATGTCCTTTATTGCATATTTTATGTTTGTTTGAGCATCATATACTGCATATATCCCTGCACCTTTGCTTTCTATCCACTAGGAGGCAGTGGTGTTGTCTGGAGCAAACTGCAGGAGGTTTTATCATCAGTGGAGGACTCCATCAGCTTCAGAAGGACCTGGGCGGCCCCCATCACAGCTTCTGACCAGGAAAAGCACAGAGAGCATCTGAGAGCAGCTCAAGAGAACTGGGTTAAAGCCAGCCAGGTATAAGTTAAAAACAAATAAGAATAATCACAATTAAAACATCTATTAAGTAATTTAAAGCTGCAAAGCCCAAGAAAAAGAGCTTCAGGTCCATATACTGGCTCTTCTTCTTTCATAAAAAAAGAAAATTCAGCAAGGATCAGTTTATGAGAAAAAAATGTCATTGTTCAGACTGTCTTTAGACTCCCATCAGTCCCTTTCATGATCCTGCTTCATTTCCAACAGATATTGGAAGAGATGGAAAGAGAGTTTGGGATTTCGTGCCGGTCGAGCTTCCCAAGAGACCAGTACCAGGAAGACATGCTGGATGGGGACAAACAGGAGTCTGCTCTCAGAAGCCCCCCACAGAGCAGCATCAGCCAGGTGGAAGAGGAGAAGAACAAGGTGGGAGAAGATGTCTCGTACTTTATTAGCCAGAATGAATCTCGTTCAGTGGACAAAGATCCAATAAACACTACAAGAGACTGACAAGAATCAGTGCAGCTGCCTTTCTCCTGTGTTTCAGCTGGTTGGTCTCCATAAAGCCTGGAGGTCTGGCGGCCACATTCCTTCCTACCGGCCCACTGCTGGGGCCCTAAGTCCAGACTGGGCCTCGCCCCCCTATCCCGGTTCACCTTTACTCCACAGGAGAGCCAACAGAGCTGTGACGCCTCTGACTGTGGGTGGGGATGGATCTCCACTGGGATCAGTTAACTCAGGCAGTCTCTGTCCCAGCCCCCTTAGCCTGGAGTCTGAGACAGAGCGGCTCAACAGGTGGGAGTGATTAGCAGCTTAGAAGGTTTAGGAGTTATAAATAAAAATAAAAACTCGACTACCACATTGTTGACACACGCTGTCCCTGTATTTACATGTATGTAAAGAAAGACACAGATACAGTTTCACTTACTAGACTTATGACTACATGTTCTTATAACCTCCCACAGCTCATTTAAAGATTCAGGTAGATATCTGTAACACTGGTTCTTATCACCTTTCTGCTTTAACAGAGTACTCAAAGCATTTTATACAACAGGCCACATTCACCAGTGCTTTCTATTTAACATTCACACTCCGATTTGGGATTAGTTTTTTATGCCCAAGGATAATTAGCATACAGGCTGGAGGAGCCAGGGATCGAACCACCAACCTTGCCATTAGTAGATGACCTGCTCTGCCTCCTGAAGACCGCCTCAAAGTGCTTATAAGGGTCAAATCTCAAATCTCACTGGTCTGATTGATGATGTAATTGCTGAAGTTTAACTCAACCAATCAAGTAAAGCAGCTTCTTCATGTGTTATTTTGATCATTAAAGCCATTTCACTCTTAACCCCAACCAATCACAGCAGATGGCCCCGCCCCTCCCTGAGCCTGGTTCTGCTGGAGGTTTCTTCCTGTTAAAAGGGAGTTTTTCCTTCCCACTGTCGCCAAAGTGCTGCTCATAGGGGGTCATATGACTGTTGGGTTTTTCTCTCTGAAGCGCCTTGAGGCGACTTTTGTTGTGATTTGGCGCTATATAAATAAAATTGAATTGAATTGAATTAATCCCCTCATCCTCACTCACTTTACCGCAGATGCATCGAGAGGCTGAAGGCCAGAAACGAACGTCTCACTGCAGCTCTGGAGCGAAGGAAAGGAGAGTCGGAGCAGATCAATCTCACGCTGAACAGGCTTGAGTCCGACTGCTCGGCCCTGCAGATGGCTCTCAGATACTGGTACCAATAAATATTTCTGTCTGTGTCAACGCTGGACGAGTTCGTTATCACCTGTCAGAAACCATCAGCACGCACAGGTCGGTTTAACAGTATTAGCAAGGTCACGTTTTGTGTTTTGCGACTGACAGTGAGGAGTGTGAAGAGGCCTACGGCGAGCTGCTGTCGCTTTATGACGCCAGGAAGCAGCAAAGCAGTCCTCAGCAGAGTGTCTCAGCAGGTGATGGAATACCGAGTTTTAATACTGCTCGCACCAAAGAGCACTCACACACTCACATGTACAATATACGGCTTTCAAGCATTAGACACAGTTGTGTTCTCTCTTTTTCCCATCATCAGAGCCGGTCGGTGACATTCGGGACCCAGACAGTCCATTAGCTCAGCTGAGGAAAATGGGCACTGAAGAGCTGTCCACCTCCTTCTCGACAGCAGGGGTCACAGAGGAGACGGAAACAGCGAGTCACACCGGGCACAGGTGATGTTTTAAAACGCTTACACACAACAAAGCTGACGAAAGAGTTCGAGATCACCGTGTAGGAACTTCAAATATGCAAATTTCTTGGGCTGCGCTTTTGTCAGCTTGTTCACTGCAAGTAACCCCACAGGACGCCCGAGCCCGAGGATCGGGAGGCGGCTCTCCGGCAGCAAATTGTGCGCCTGAAGAGGGACCGGGCAGCCATTTGCCTCCCTAAGCCAGGTCCAGGAGCAGAGGCCAAACTGAGCCCACCTGGACAAAGAGGGGGTCACATGACTAAAGACAAGCCTGATAACAAGAAGGAGAAGGCTTCCCTGTTTTATGAACTGATCTCAGTCAGGGTATGACGTACATTACAATCACACCATGGCCAGGAAAAAAAAATAAAAGCATGCAAAACTATGGATGCAAAGAGATTATGAGTGAAACAGATTTATTCTATGAAAGGAGTAAAATATTTGCACAATTTCCTAAAACACTGTTTGCATAGTACTCTAAATACATATACAGGATATAGTGGATGAGACGCCATGAATATACAGATTATAATAAATTCATAATAACTCAAACAAAAGTGCAAACCAGCTAAACGAGACAGAGTTTCATGAATTTACATGCAAACAAAAAAGAAAAATCAGGGGACACAACATCAGGATATTCTAAAGAAATCTTCATGCATTGACAATCTGAGGTAATATTTATCAAATCAATAGAGGAACCAAAGCTGGGCTTTGGTGCCTCTATCCAATCATGTAGCTGCCACTCTTTAAATAACCGCTTTTGTTCAGGAGGAGATGTCAGATCTGCGAGCTTTAATCCGCCTCAAGGAGAAAGAGCTGAGGTGTCTGGAGTGGAGTTTAATGGACCAGAAGGCTCAGGGAGCAGCTGGGGTCTTCATCCCAGAAAGTCTCCAAGAGGAGGTGGAGGATCGTAGGACTGAACAACAGGTAGGATACACTCCTGCAGCAGCAATCCAGACGGGGTTTTTATCCTTTCTTTTTTTCAAATTGGAAAATAATACAAAGTCAAGGTGAAACGAGCAAGAGGGAGCAGGACGCTGGTCTACTGTGACAGACCCGATTCAAATATGGGTGCCCCACGTGGGAAATCACACATCTACAAAAGCAGAATCCCTCCAGGCCAGGAAGGATATTTTGGTTCCACAAGGTCTTCTGCTGAGCTGTCCTGTCACTGCAGCACAGATTCATGCCGCGCATCTCTGTCATTGTCAAATGACAAAGAGTGGAACAGCTCCTTTAGCTTTCCTTCCCCCCGTGATGTTAATTTGCACTGGCTCTTTGCCTCCAGATTACAAATGTGAATAGCTTTCAAACTTCCTGTGCTGCACGCTGCCTGGTTTCTGCAGACTGTGTCCTGTTTGGCTACTTCACCTAAAATCTCAGTCAGCGCCCAGGCCGTGTAATAAATGCTGCGTGTACATGCAGGCGTCTGAACCAGCTGATTTTGCTCAGCTGGAGAAATTAGACCCAAGTATTATGTTCCTGATACGGTCAATGATAAAAACAAATGATGTTAGAATCAGAATACGTTTGAGGAAATTATGTGGTCACATCGCTCTGAGACAGTAAGAGCAGTAACTGATCACAGGCAGGGATGGTTCCTCTGTCTCTCACTGAGCGTGCTCCTGTCACTGGCCAACACGTCATGTAGTGGGTGGGAGGTATCGTCCAGCGTCGTCCTTGTCCTGGACAACGTCCACCTCTCTGACACCCCTTTGAGAGTCCAGCTCCATCCCCACAACACTACTGGCCTCGCAGATCACTTTATTCGGTCTGTTGGACACTGAACTGTAAGAAATACTGGCGACCACCAGCCCCAGCCTCATAGTAGCTCGTATGGTATGAATTAGAAAATCTCAATTAATTACATTCACAAGGTTTTGAGAAAACTTGACCTCTGACCTTGAGGTCAATATTGGGATATCAAATCCACCTCATTTTCAAGCTATCATACTCACAAACTTCGGTGTCCACGGCCAACAGTGTCCCATCAGCCTTAAAGTGTAAAAGCACTTCAGAGCTAAAAACACGAGACATTGCATGATGACAGCCTGGAGCCACAGCTTTAGATTAAAGTGCACATACGCCAGAGGAGAAGTGAAGACACCTTTGGGACTTTGGGCGGTATCTTAACTGAACGTTGTGTTTCAGAGGCTCTGTGAGAACGCAGCGAAGCTCGGTTGTGAAGGGGACATCGCTGGTTATAGGACAAGACCCATCCTGAAAGAGCTGCAGGCGGTCCTGCAGAGGTGAGGGTTGGATTCTGTCTTTTCCATACCTGTCGGTGTCATATGGTCTCTATATAGAAGCACTTTAGCTCTTGACAACTTCTAGTTTCGTGTTTTAACAATAAAATCTGATAATAATTATGATAGTAATTATCTGGATGTTGAATATGTGGACGTACTTGAATATAATCAGGTTTGAAAATGTGTCAGACATCTCTTGGCCGCTTTGAACTGTTGCTTAGGAACGCTGCAGACTTTGCACATAAAGAATTTCTAGCTGTTTCTCTCCACGATGTGCTTCAGAGAGCACCTTTTCTCTTCTGACCTAGAGTGCTGAATACTTTTAAATAAAGCACTCCTGTTAACACAATGCGTCACAGCGGCCCTAAGGCCAAGGACGCATGTTAAATATGAGTCTGTGAGTAAACATCTTTTGTGCTTGCAGCAAAATGAATAACCTCACAGCATGTTTACCCACTGACCTCACTATTTCTTTTTCCAGGGAGCAAGCCTTGAAGAAGCGGCTGGCTTTGGTCCATGAGTCACTGAACGCAGCCGTCTCAGACAGTTCCTCCCACAGGAGGGACAATGCGGAGCAGATAGCTCGCCTCACACAAGCTCACAGGTGAATGGAAAAAGAAAGCTGCTGAATATACTTCTTTGGTGTCTGTTCATCAGGCCCTTTGTGCTCAGCTTGAGTCAAAGTTAAAAAGTCATGTGGATCTTTTCGTCGCAGCAAAGCCTTGAGTTCATACCGTCAGATACGGAGGAAGTATCGGGAGCAGGTGTGGCGGCTGGAGCAGAAATTGGCGGCCTCGATGGAGAGTCGACACGGCCAGGGCGGAGCTGCAAAAGCTGCAGAGGAAGCCTTGGAGTGGAGGAGGGAAGAGACTGTTTTATAAGACATCAAGTCTTCGCTGAAAGCCATCTCGACATCCGTATCTTAATCACATCAGCTACATGTGTAAATATGACGAGTATAGCTTTCTGCTTTTATCTAGTTTATATTACATGCTTATATTTTTAGCCTTTTTCTGGGCCTGTAAAGAATATCTATTTATCTAGCAATCATTAATGACATCCAGCACTTTCTTTGGCTCTTGGGGGGTAAAAAATAAAACATAACACTGTGATTTCTACCTGAACGGTTGTGTAAGATTTATCAATAAACTGAATTGGACTCTAAAGCTTGGCGTCTCTAAAAGGATCCACATCAGACAAACAGCTGGGACTCAAAGACTGAGCCCACTAAAGGCCTCGGGACTGACCTCAACAGTGCACGCGTCCATTTTCCTGCAAACACCAACTGCACGAAGCTGCTGCCAGGCATCCTTCCTTTTGTGACAGCGGGGTTAGTAGTCAACATAGTAGCGTAACTACTCGTTTTCTAAGCCTCGCCTCACTCTCGTATGTCTAAACTTACCTTGTGTATAGTTATCGTGTCTGGAAATATCTGCCTTGTACATTTATGCTGTAATCCCGTTATACTGAGGAACATTTTATGCAAGGTTAAACATAAGGTTTCCATAATGCAGTCTGCACCCTGAAAAGTACCTATGTTGTTTGTTTTTCTGCTAAATCACCAGGAAATGACACAGTCTTTAAATTTACTTACAGTATAATTATTTCTTTATATCCTGTAAAAACCTTATTTGTTACCTCTTTATTCTAGTGTACCTATTTATTTGTTGGTAATGTGCATACTTCCAGATGCACTGGGCTTTTTTAAATTATTATTTCTAAATTCAGTGGATTGACCCTTTAAGACCCGGCTTATTGAGCTTCTCACCTTCTTTGTCACCCACTCGTTCATATTTCAGTCGCTCTGCCTTTACTCTTTATTTCCTCCCCCTCCATCTTCCCTGCTCTCATCTCTCACCCCTCGCCCTGACCTGCCCGAGCCGGTTAGCTGCAGCTGTGACTGCCGGTCAGGAGGTTAAGGCAAAGGTTGAGTGTCACACCCACAGGGTCACAGCGATGCCTGCCTGTTGTGTTAGGCTGTGAATGGAGAGTTCACAGTGCCAGACGAGGTGGCGAGCCCCTGACGCTCCGACTCCTGCCTGAGCTCGCCCTTTCCCGAGCAGAGGTCACCGGAGAGGGCCCGTCCTCCCGCTCCCCCCACGCCTCCAGGTCACCATCGCCATTGTTGTAATAGCTGCCATTAGAGCAGATGATACAATTATCTTTCCATTTTGTGTTGCCGCTCTCTAAGATCTGCGTTAAGCTTCTGAGTTCATCAAAGGTTTTTTCGATGACACGATTGTTGTAACCTCTGTGTGACTCTTGTGTCAAAGGCAACGCAATAAAGCAAAATGTCTCTTGGAAAGAAATGGATTTTTGTTCTTTTGTTTATCCTCGAGGGGTGAAAAAGTGTTCAGATGTTTTATTTCGGTACCTAAAAGCACTCTATTAAAAGTCGTCTTTCAATTATCAAAATAAAAGTAGTGACAGTTTATTCATTTTAAACAGCGTATTATTTTTCAGATATCTCGCCACCATGGAAAACTGGAGTAAAATGTATATTTTCATTTAAAATATACTAACATAGTGTAAGTGCAGTAATCATTAAATATACTTTGATACATTATTACTGCCTGTTTTGAGAAATGCACACACAAAGTTCCAGATCGAGTAGATACAACAAAAAATGTCTGATTTCAATAAATGCATATATATTTGCTGTTGTCCGGCTCCCTGCTAATATTCCATGTTTGTTATTTAAAGATGTGTGTAGTACGTTAGCCCACATGAAATGTTTTTGTTCTTTAAACACAACTGGAGCCGACCATTTGAAACATTTTTAATAAAATAATAAAAAAGACTGACTTGTTTCCGACTCATTAACAGTCCACAAACATACAGATATATAATGACTACAGCTGTCTCTTCTGGCCGTTTTTGTGTGCATGTAAAATCCTAATTCAACTGAATTCATTTGCAACATAATTACAAAAATAAAATAGTTCAAAGTAATGTTAAACGCCTGTGATCTAATGTAGTTTTCCACCATTAAAAAGTGAGAAAGTGAGAAAGGTCTAATCTAATCTAGCTGATACGTGTGCGCTGAAGCATGCGCTGAAATACAGTTTTGCAACAGTGCACTCCCAAAGGATGTGAGATTGGAAAGTCAAACAAAGAGCATGAGAACCGAGCGATTAGCCCCAACAGTCTCATCTGTTAACATTTAGGCTCCATATTTCTGGACACACTTCTACCCCCACGTGTAGCAGCCTCCACTCGAGCCTTTGGACAGCAGCGTTTCTTTTAGTGCCTGGGAAAAATACCCAAAGCATTATTAGACAAAGACAGCGGCTGTCAATCAGTGTGGGGGTGGACACAATCACACATGCACATACGGAGATGGGGGTGGAGGGGTGGGGGTCCTGACCCATGGGTTTCAGGTCAAGTCATTTACTCTCTGCATCCGTTCCTGCATTTTAATAATTTGTCCCTTCGTACGCTGTATAAAGACATCACAGTCTGCACCTTCAGGCCTGTACCTCTTCTTTCTCAAAGCCATTAGCTCACCTACCACAACCACTCCATCTCCTGCTCTCTTTACGCCTCTCTTCTCTGCTTGGTGCCATAGGGCACTGCCTCGCTGACCTGACATGTCACTCCTGAGCTCTCTGACACCAGCCGGCCCATCAGAGGGGTCGGGAGCATGATGGAGGGGGCTTTTGGCACGGCGGAGCGCAAAAGAGATTTGACCTCAATCAAACGGCCTATCACATCTGCTTTTGTGCTCACACACACTCAGATAATGAGATCAAACAGCTCAGGCCAGCAGCCCATCGCACCACAGGCCGACAGATAAAGACTACAATCTTGTTGCACATTATAAGTCCACTTAGGGGATTTTCATGCTTTTATAGGATTGCATGCTTGCCTGTCAGCAGGTTGAGAAAGCTGTTTAGATTTACAAATTCAGTTAAGATCAGTGTTTCATTGTGCTTCGATCAGAGCTAAAGCTTTCATGGAAACAGCTTCCACATCAGAAAAATGAACAAAAACAAGATTTTAAGGTCATTTTTACAGCGTGCTCCTATTCTAATGTGCTTCTCTGTACAATGCAATATTCAACACCAGTATGTGATTTATTGTAATGGAACACATACTGTATATCAAGTACATGTGGTAAAAATTAGAAATGCACAGACTTCATCTGAGAGAGTGCACAACTGTTTTTATAATGTTGGTATAAAGGAAGCCAGAACTACAAATTCTTGCTAATCTTATATCACGCAGGAAGAGAAATCCTTCAGTCCTTTTTGATGCAATAAACAGGCTGGTGTCTCTATCTTTTTCTGGCATCCCCCATATTCTCTAACAGTACCATTTCCATCCATTTTTGCGTATCCTTATCAGGGAGCAGAAGGGTAAGGTGCTAGAACCTATCCCAGCTACCTCAGCACCATATCTTCACCTACTTGTGCTGATTTCATGTCCTGCAACAATCTTAAAGCCATCAGGTGACGATTGTGTTTAAATCAGCATTAGACTGGTTTCAATTTTACCAAACAGAATTTTCTGTTTTATCACCATTAATCTCCGTCTTTTGGAAAAGGCTACTTTCCAAAGGGATCAGTTTTGGGATCTATACTGTTTAGCTTGTATATTGTATAATTCGGTCATTTAATTAACTTTTTTTTTTTTTACCAAATTTTGTATGCATCCATCTCTCCTGTTCTTTCCAACCTAACAAGCTGCCATCAGGTCTTGGTTAAATCGGTTGGCTACATCTAGCTTATGTGACTTTGAGGTTATCCTGAACAGTTTTTGTCTTTAGACTGGCAGGAAGCTGACTCAGCCCTCATTCATCAGAGGAACATTGCTGAGTTAAGACGTTTTAATTCTGAAGTGGAACTGCTGGAAATTGTTCATACTTTTATCTTTCCTCGTTGGGATCAATGCAACTCTCTATTTACCCGTCTTAACAAATCATCTCTTTAAAACGGAGTGGCACGTCTTTTAACTAATTCGGGAACGAGATCTCTTCAGTTTTAAAAAATGTTTTTTAACTTTATAGACACATTTTTAAAATCTTGTTATAACCACTGCAGTAAATCCCAGAGCTTTCACACTCAGTTTAAGGAATATTTGTCTCACCTTTATCCGTTTTATTTCTTTTTTAACTGCTTTATTTGCCTGTGAAGGACGCATTATAAATTCACTTACTTTAATAACCTTCACACTTTCACCTGCTCGTCCACACACCACACCGACAGGTGGTTTGGTGCTCTTGATATCAGAGCAGAATTTAACTTTGGGGCCGACCTCAGCTAAAAGCGTTCCCAACCCTCCTCTGGAAAATATTAACTATATATTGTTCATGCTTGATCATTTCTGCTTTATACATTTAACACAACCATTATCACAGCCTATTGTGCTGGAAAGAAAGAAAATAAACCAGCTGCTGATGCTTTTTTAAAACAAGCTAACCGTTTTGATTGTTTTTGAAACGTGTAAACAGGCAGAGCAGTCACAAAGAACTTACAAACACCTAAATACGATGTTTTACATAACAATGCAAATATAATTTAACTTATATTAAAATAACGACTAGCGAGCTAACAGTAGGTTACCAATCACCTGTGGTTGACAACATCGCCTAAGTTCACCGCACAAAGCTTCAGCCTGTTTGGCTGTATCCCAGAATAGGTTGCAGGCTTTTCTCATTACCTGACGTATGAATATGAATGGGGATTTATGACAGCAAGCCGTCATTGCTTCAGGCCTCCTGCAAGTCCAAACCTCACAAACCTTCATCTCCTGTAAGTGTCGGACCACATGGAAATATGCTAACAGCTAGCTATCTGGAGTTATTGTTCAGCAAACACGCTGTGGGCATCTACAGCATTAACAATGATTTGTTCTCTGGTTCTTCTCATTATCCTCCAGTGAACAGTCCGAAGGCTTAAACTGTCCTTGTTTGATGACATATTTCAGACTCTGGTTATTCCAGCTGTGGAAGCCTGATGGGTAAGCTTAGTCTGTACCTTTGCTGTTTCATGCTGCTGGGATTTTATAAACTGTGGTGTTATCAGTGTGTGTTTGCCTGTACTTGCTTAGTTTGAAGGTGGAATTAAAAAGTTACAGGTCAGTATAAAAAATTGAGCTTCCAGGTTTGAAAAGTGAAGCTAATGCAGAATCGCCTTGAACCTCCATTCTCTTCATTGGCCCCTGT